AGAGAGAGAGAGAGAGAGAGAGAGAGTGAAAGAAAGGGCACCCAAGATGCAATTCTAGTATTTAGGTCATCAAAACAATTTCGATGCAAAAACTTGGTCATTTTCCTTCATAGATCTCAAAAGAGAGAGATGCAAAAACTTGGTCATTTTCCTTTATAGATCTCAAAAGAGAGAGAGAGGGAGGAAGAGGCAGAGATGGAAATGGAAATGGAAATGGACATGGAAATGGAAAGGGAGAGGGTGGGAGTGGGGGGAGAGAGAGAGGTGTGAGAAGGGGGGGAAGAGCAAGAGGGAGCGTGTGGAGGGGAGAGACGGAGAGGGGGAGAGAGTATAGGAGGAAGAGAGGGAGTGGGAAAAGAAAGAGAATGAGAGGGAGTGGGGGACACTGAGCAGGATAGTGCTAGGGTTCTGAGTGAGAGAAGGGCCAAGAGAGGGATAGAGCGCGAGAGCTGGAGGAAGAGAAAGGGAGGGCGAGTGTGGTCCATTTAAATAAACTAAAAGAAGATGACAATGGGAAATATATGTGTGATTTCACTATACAAGAATGCTCAAAGCATTTGATAGGTTGTACCCATATATTGTTAAGTTGTTCCTATATATATAAAAAGTATAAGAACCAACAATTTGTCTTCAGCATTGTTCTCATGATAAACTAGCCACCGCACTAGTGATGGGTCTAGTCTAATCAAAATTGGTTTGACTGCCGGTCGAACCCATTGTACTAGATTTAAAAAATGTCAAAGAAAAATGCAAGTAATAGTTTAAAAGTACAAAATATATTATCTAAAAACAAAAAATTTCCCAACTTCGTTCGGCCAGTCTAACCATTCAAAACCTGCTAGCCACACCAGCCAAAACCAATCAAACATTGATTTTAGCTGGCTTTCAAACAACCCCAATTTTTTTTTGACCAAACAAGCCAAGGTACCGATCAGCCGTCTAATATGTTGGACCGAGTCCAGTCTGGTCTTGATAACTATGGTCCTATGTTTTATAGCAATTACCACTTACAAAAAAGCATGAATCTCTAAAAGTAAAAAGACATCCAAATGGAATTTAGGTTTAAGAGAAATACCTTCCCTCTTTTGACTCGAGAAGTCTTCCAGCAAAGCAAGCTCCTTGAACTAGGCTCCAATCTCCTAAAACATACATTAAACCATCAAAGAAATGAAGAAAAAACACCCCTGCTCAGTATTATGTGGCATTAGAGTAATAAAGCATCTGTACATAATGCACATTATAGAAGCATATGGGACAAATCAATAATTTTCGAATACAGTGCATATTCTTGCATTTCAAGGAATGAATTTCAATATTAAAGATTTTCAAGAATGATTAGAACATCTCAATCATAATAGGATAGACTAAGGCCAGAAGAATGCATGGCAAACTATCAGTTAGAATAAAATAGCTTACGAATATCAAACAAGAGATTGTTATTACCCACAAAATGAAGATGCCAACCTTGAATAACATAATGGAAATTCGAGCATGAAAAAATTTGTCCACAATTAGAAACCAAGATTCTCAGTTACAATAAAATAGCTGAAGAATATCACATATGACATGGTTGCTATCCCAGGAAATGAATCACATGGAATTTGGAACATAGGAACTCATCTTTGCAGCAATCCCTAGACAAACATCCCATTCAGACCAAATCCCATACTAGAGATTCTATACACTAACACCAACAAAAGTAGGTTCATGTGGTCCTTTCTTTAGCAGCACGCTCTTGTACACTTTCACCTGAAAAAAATGGCTCCATTCTCAGTTCAACAGAGGACTTGTATTCATGTTCATAGGGAGATTGTGAACCAACCATGTCGTCATTAGACATTCTTCAATAATACTTTTGAAGTTAAAATAAGAATACATAATGTTCTTATCTAATATAGGCACAATCAACCACCAAATATGTCCTACCAAATCAGAAACAAGAAAGGTTGTAATATCCATGACCAACCTGCCTGATAGAGTAGCCAACCAATTTGACAAATTAGCAACTGACACAATGTCATCGAATCAGGTACCATGTAAGATTGCAACAAATGAAGTGATTGAAAAATAAACATCATGATGTTAGGATCCAAATCCACATTTGGACTATTTGGGTTGTGGGATATAACTATAGGCCTTCTCTATTGCATTATGACAAAATCTGGCTGGACATAAAAGTTATATCCAAGACAAGAGAATTGGATGGTTCCAATTACATCAACATAAAGGTAGTCTACTTTAATTTTGAAATATATTATAAAACACTGGCTTCAGCAAACTCAAGCTGTTCCATATATACTTTATTTGAGGAAAAACAAGCTGAACTCATGAACTCTCGAAGCCACAAATTCTACCACTAAAAGTTGGAAGATTTTTATAAAGTTCCATAGGCACTTCAATATTGTATAATGGCATTTTCTTAATATCAATTTTTGACAAGCATTCAAACTATCTAAATTCCAAAAAGCTACGAACGTTCATTGAAGGGTCTTACTAATGTCTGTTCTGTGCAACCATTGTAGCATTTTATACATATCAAAGCTTGAACTACTCTTCAGTCTCATGATCTCATCTGACTTCATATTTCATACAATCATTTACTTCCACCTATAGTTTTCCTTTCGGTCAAGGAAAAACATCCTAATTAATGTCCTCACACAATGCTAGTATCTCATCATACAACATATGCTTCTGTTGAGCATCACAGTTAGCTTCTTCAAGATATTCAATCCTTCTAAGTTCTCTAACGAAAATACTGATACTCAAGGGAGTGTCAAATGGAACCCAACTATCAAGTGGATGTTTATCTTAAGAATATTATCGCATAGCAAGTGAATGTCAGGGCCATTCATGCATTAGAGCATCAACATAACATAAATGCATAAAGTTTCATTTGTGCCAATAGGTGATGTAGGCTCATCCTCATCTGGATTATCATGCATAGGAGGCAGAGGCTATTGTGTCTCCGGGTTGAATATTCCCCTGACACTCTCAAATAGAGGAGATGAATAAAAGCATGCCTCCATCAAAAGTGATGCAACAGATAAGGATCCACATAAAACCTACCCTTCACTGATAAAATTGACCTTAAAGACAATAAAATTGAGAAACAATGGATAAGATGAGAGCGCAAGATTCACAATGTCATCCTCCTCTTTCAGTAGATAGTGGCTGACAGTTGCCTATGGGAATGTTATATGCAAACACATCCTTTACCAATCTTTCCCCAGTATTCAGGTCTTCAATAATACATTGAGAAGGAAAAGATTTGACAGAGTAAACAAGTATTTCATGAACAAGGAACATAAAGAGCAAAGAAAGTGAAGTATCAAGATTCCTTCCCTCGGCATTGGGTAAATAAACTGTCAACCAAAAACACACTACTCAAACTGCAGCTATGCAGAACATATTTGTGGTAGAGGAAGCCCCAAGCTTATCAAGACACTTTATATTTTGCGTCACCCTATCACAAGGAAAAGAAAAGCATGCAGCAACGAGCAACAGCACTCCCAATACGAATGGTTGGACAGGCATTGAAGAAGCAATAGTTTTCGGACTTGTCCTAACTTATAGCATATGGCAGTAGGAGTTTCACCCATGACCTAGCCCTTGAATGCTTTCTTGATGCACTACTCCCTTAGAATCTGAGAGTAGGTTGAATTCTTTGTAAATCAGAAGGAAACATTCATGACATTCATGTTGAAGCAAAGCACATGTGGCATAACAGCGTGACATCTCTTAGGATTATATTCTTAAGCTTTTATTAAAGCTCTGTTTTATCTTCCCCAGGAGTATATCTTCATGCTCTATTATTAGAGACTAGTCAGGTTGATTGCGAGTGCACTACACTTGGGTGCCTAATGAAGGGCATAACTAGGGAGCGACTCTATCCGAGGCATAGTGCACCTTGGCATGCGACCCAGACCTTAGCATAAGTGGGCTTGCAAACTGGGTTGGTTGTGTTTAGTTAGTCCCATAATGTGCACTGCTGAAGGGGGTCCACGGAACCTTGTCGAGGTCTGCACAGCCAAGCTGATAGCTATTATTCGGGTGGCCAGGAGATCAAAGAGGCTCCTGTGGATGTGGGATGTACAGGGGTTTGTGAGGACAGACGCCTGAAAACCTTGGCAATGGAAATTCTACCCAGCATGTGCATTGCTAGTTACTTCGGACAATGTTTGGTAAAAGTAATGTTTTTGTTCAAATCCAAACTTTTATTAAAAAAAGGTAAAGTTTGTACCTAGTCTTCTATAATATTTTAATATTTTTGTACTCCTTTGGGTGTAGTTTATATTTTAATTAAGAAATATTTTTTTTTAAAGAAATAGATATTTTATAAAAAAAATTAATATTTAATTCCTTTTCTTATTAGTTAACTTTTTGTATTCCTTGAGTGTAGTTTATGACTTTATGTAACATAACAATCATGTTCATTCTTCTTCGTTGAGGAGAAAAGTATTAAGAAAAGTTGAAGCCATAGTTACCCGAACACTGCCTAGGTCGCGATTTCGCCTCGGAATCCCAATTTAGCAATTCCAAAAAGGAATCTTTGCGAAACCCGTTTCCTTGAAATCAGGAATCTTGATTCCTTATTTTAGGAATCTCGATTCCAACGTTTTCCAAATTTCGATCCCAACATTTATGAAATCTCGATTCCAACTCTTTAAATCTCGATCCCAACATTTATTGAGTATTGATTACACACTTGTTGATTCCCGATTCCACATATAAGGAATCTCGATTTGATTTTTTTTTTCGAATCCAGAATCCACAACGTTAAGTACCCCGGTTCATAGGTGCACAAAATTGTGATTCGTTTTATGAATCTCACCTCAAATATTTATGGATTCTGATTTCAGTTATTTAGAAACCCGATTGGAGAGCATTGTTTCCCATGGTTTACAGTTGTTCCAAATAACAATCCGATGAACACGGTGCTGAAGTATTTTTAACACAAGCCTACTTTCAATTCCAAATGTTTAGAGTGAAGAAGTACTCAACATGAATGCTTCTAATGTCTTTTGCAAATAACAAAGGCTGGTATAACTAGGCTGTTGGAGCATTAATGAGAGTTTTGATGGTGCTAGGGTGACTGGCTCGGATCATGTTTCTAATAATGCTAGGACTGGATTCCTTCTTTGAAATATAATTGGTAAAGAGTTTTACATTCAACATATACAACTCCTAGCACAGATAGTCATATTTTGAACTAGAATAATGAAATCAAAATCACATTCCAAAAATACATGAGATAATAATTGTATGGTTTGTAACACTTTCAAAAAAAAATTGTATCGTTTGTAGACAATTTCCTTGGTGGACTACGAGTGTTTATTAATTGACCTTACTTTTGAAGCTGTGTTAGAAGCTCAAAAGTCAATAAGTCAATACATTGACTTCATATCTACAGAACCCTTCTTCAAGTCTTAGAGACCTCTGATCTCGATTGCTTGATCTAGGCATTTTGATTCTAAAAGGATTGAAACTCGATTACAAATCTCGATTGCCATGTGGATCAAAACTCGATTCCAAACTGATATGAATCTCGATTCCATATTGGTGTGAATCTTGAGTCACAATACATCAAAAACTCAATTCCAAAGATGTCAAAATCGTGATTCTATATATGAAAGAATCTTGTTGCCATATGGGTTGATTCCAAATAGGTTAGAGACTTGATTCCAAAGCAGTTAGAATCTTAATTCCATGTAAGGATCTCTGTTCCATTTGGGTCAAAACTCGATTCCTATAAACTATGAAACTCATTCCCCGCAATTGCCCTTGTATGGACGTCGATTATGAAAATGGGAATCTTCTTGTCATTCGTAATTTTGCGATAATGATTTCTAAAACAATTTGGCATCTCAAGTGTTTCCAACAACTATAGTTGAAGCCCGAGGTTTTAACTTGTGACCTTAACATAGGCCAAAAAGGATACTGTAGGTATCACCACCAGAAATGATGTGTGTGAACAAAACATGCAATTAATATATCATATATATTAAATAATTATACAAAATAGCAATTGCTTATCATTCAGTTGCAGCTCAACGTTGGAACTCGTGACTTATGAAATAGGCCGAGAGGGATTTTGGTTCAATTGATCTATGAAACTTCAAATATGATGCTAATGGATTTGGACCCCATGTAACTTAGGATCTCAATCCCTAGTACGAAGGATCGAGACCCCAAAATTTATAAACTGTAGAGAAGAAAGATCCCCCTTGCAAGAGTGAGCATCTGGAGCAAGACCGACCCCTTGGTTTGGGGATCCCAATAACCATGAAAAAATATATTTCTAGAACAAGGTTACTTTTGTAATAAAAACAATGTCTAAAGTATGAGTATATTTAGAGTAATTTATGTATGTGTGTGTGTGTGCAGAGAGAGAGATATAGAGAGAGACAGGTAAATTTGAGGGACCATTGTGATTTTTGTGGGCACCTAGTGGACTCTTTTTCTAGACCGCTTGAGGACCACATGAACCATAGTGAGGACCACATAGACTCCGATCGTTGTGAGGCGCACATGGAACTTATACCATGAGGGAGGGTGCATGGAAGTCCTTTTTGTCATGGAGGGTACACGCCACTCAAGTTTGAACTTCTATGTAATTTAATTCCAAAGATATTTTCTAAATATTTCCCTTGGGAACTAGTATCAAGTCAAAATTTAGGATAGTTGTGAGACCAGCTTTGGTTAATGGGGCAGAATGTTCAGCGGTTAACATACTTATACGAGGAATGTATCTGAGATGAGTATATTAAGATGGATGAGTGTCAAGACAAGAAGATAGAATTTGAAATCAATACATTCGGGGAGAACTTAGGTGTGGCTCCAAAAAGCACTAAGATGAGGGAAAGTAAAGTTAGGTGGGTGGGCATGTGCAGAGCAGGCCTAGTGCATCGCCTAGGAGGAGCGAGTTGGTTCAAGTGAAAGGCTCAAAAACGAGAAGGGACAGACCCTAAAGGACATGGTTGGACGTAGTGAGAAAAGATATGCGGACCTATAACCTCACTGAGGATATGGCCCTTGATAGAGTATAACGGCGGACTAGGATTCGTATAGCTAACCCCAAATAGTTTGGGAAAAGGCTCTGATGATGATGAATTGACGATGATGCTGAAGGTGATGAACAAGTCAAAATTTGTAACAAATTTGGAATGTCAAACCTAGGTGGTTAGGAGATACATATAAGGTGGGAAACCTTTACAAAATAACCCTGATTCCTTGTATTGAGGTTGGATTCATCTGGTTTGCAAATCTGCCTAATAAGATAAATCAGGTAGTACTTTTCTTCTTAAAACATGATTCTAGCCTCAGGCTATGGGCATTAACAATGGCTATTCACATTTACAATATTAAGGTAATTTAGGGGGCAAAAACTCCACAACACCATGTACTCCACACCAATAAACATTGGGAAGGCACTTTTGAAGTAAAGCAAATTTCTTCCCCCAAAATATGCAAATCCTTGGAGCACCTCAAATCCAGCCCTCAAAGCATCTAAAAATCCACAAAAATTCTGACATTCTCTCTTTAGGTATGGGCTTGAGGTTTAAATCTTGAGGCCAAAGAAATCTAGGCTCGAGTGATTCAATATTGGTAATGGCATGGACCCAATGGGCAGGCTATTCTACTCATGCTTTGTGTTCACTTTGATTCGTCCGACTTTTTCTTCATGTTGCTTTCAGTTGCTTCTAAAGTCTTCAAGGATCCAAAACTCAACTTGCACTGATACCATGTCAAAGAAGTTCAATGCAGGTAAAGCACAATGAGGATGTGTTCAACCATTTTTCTCCTTTAATTCCTTTTCCCAATTAGGGTTTCATATATACCGATACAACTTCAATTAGTAACTATGTATTGTTTACATCTAAACAATGACATCATCATCATTATCATTCGAGTCTTATCACAACTATATGGAGTAGACTTTCATAAAAAGATGTGGCAAAGTTTTACGTTGGTTGCCTACCTAACACAACCCTCCTCCTTTATATAGGCTTGGGAGGAGCATGAGCGGCTTGGGATCGACCATGGCAGAGTTGACTAAACAACAACTAGCTAAGGAAGGGTCTCCCCCAATTCCTTGACCCCTCCCTTCGCTCTCCTCTCTCCCCTTTCACTCTTTCATCTTACCCCTTGCTTCTTTCTCACTCCCAAAAAAAAAAATCCCCAAAAGAAAAGGAAAAATAAAAAAAAAGGAAAAGAGAAAAGGCAGGTCATGTTTATGTTCTCTTCTTCATTCTCTTCATTCTCTCCATTTTCTCTAGTCTTCTCTTCAGCCTCTCTCTCTCTTTGTTGAACCTTTCTTTTCAACCCCTCCCCCCCCAAAAACAAAGAACTATGCTCTTCCCTCCTTTTCTCTTCTGCACTTAGCCCCCCTCACTTCTGCCAATCCTCCCTCTCTGCAAACCCTATCTCTCTGCTATCCCCTCTCTATCTACCTCAACTCTCTTCCATCCTTACCTTGCAATTTCTCCACCCCTCACCCTTTCCCCCCCCTCCTTTTCCCTCTTGAAGACCTCGTACAAGATTAATAAAAATAAATAAAAATCGAAACACTACCGGACAACTATGATCGTGCGATGAAGTTTGGATGGTGATGAAAGTAGGTAAAATCACTGTTCATTTTCGTTTATAGGCATTTTGTAGTATCTTCCTATATGTATATATATATATATATATATATATATATATATATGAAAATGCTGATATCACCCCACTAGTTCATGTCAACATCTGAGCCCAACGGCCCAAATTGAATTTGGGGCGATCTGACGGTCACGGCCTTATTTCGTATTTGAATTTTAATTTTTGTTTTCTACGAATCCAAATAACTTGAAATTTCAGACGTCCATTCTTCTCATCAAGGCACACCTATTAAAAATATTTAAAAAATAATTCGCAAAATATAAATTGACCAAAATACCCCCAAAACTTAAAAAAAGTTGAGAAAATTTATGGTACTGCCCCTAGATACAAATAAGACAGAGAACAACTTAACATATGAAACAAACTTTGGCATATAGGGTCAGAGGCCCTAGTTTTAATGAAAAGAACAAAATACAGATGGCAAAACAGATCTCTTAAAGCATAAGCAAGAGCAGTTTTCAAATGCCAAATGCAACTGATGGTAATCATAGGGACATCAATGATTGTGCGCCAGATTTATAGAGCAAGAGAAGGCTATCAATCAACAATAAATCAACATAAGTGACTGTGCTTCACCCTTATTCAGCATGAGCTACGATAAGATTTAAGAGCCACATCCAACATGGAGTACAAAGTATGCCACACTCAATATTTCAAGTTGAGGTATAACAAGAACGAAGAAAATGATGACTTCCATCATACAGGCCTCATATATCCTATCAGAATTCTGGCCAAATTGGTATCCTTTTTTTTTGAAAAAAAGGAATTGTTCTTTTAGTTTTAGCAATGCTATTCCTTTCCTCCTTTTCAAGATTTTCATGAAAAGGAAACTTAAGTATTCAGCTTCAAAAGTAAATCACATTTATCTTGAATAAACAAAACAATTACTACAGAAATGATTGTTAAAGAAAAGAAATATCCAACTTTCAATTCCTGCTTATTACACAGGGTACTAGGAAATCATGCCAGCTTCTGAATCTACGTCGAAGGACGTAAAAACAGATGTTCTTTCCTTCAGGCAACCTAACCCAAGTAAATAATTCAGAGAGAACTTTAGGCAAAATGGACTCTCAGAAAAGTGCATAGGGAGACGGCAAGCATACAAACTTTTTCTACTCGTACATTCATTTTCAGTTCCCTACACAGCTGTAGGAAGTATTACTGCAGGATAAAATAACTAAGAAAATGATTGAAAAACAGAACCTTGGTTGTAATCTTGCATCTGTAACTTTACAATTTTTTCACAACCAGATATATAAACTTTCTAATATAATATATCTATATCTATATCTATATCTATATATATATATATATATATATATATATATTGCGGCAGAGAACAAGCAAAAATCACCATGTAATGTCAGTGAAAATACTCACAAATTATCCTGTTCAAGCTTTTCAGCAATCGAAACTCCTTTGCGCTTGGACCATCCAGTGCCTTCTGCCTGCTGAATAACATGTGCAAGGGAGACTCGGCCTCTAACAAGGCTTTGATTTTGGGGTTGCCCTGTAGTTCTTTTCCTTTCACGTAAACAAGGGTCAAAGGAAGATTGAGAATTAAGTATCTCTTCTTGTACCCACGCAATTTCTAGCCGCTTATCATCCAACTTTCCAAGATCTTCTGTAAGAGCTTTGTCCTCAGTTCTTCGAGGAGTAGATACTAACTCAACAATTTCGTTCCTCGAATTTAAATTCTCTGGGTAGGAAGAATGCAGCTTTCCAATTTGTGAGGAGCTAGTTCCTTCACCAACTCTTTCTTTTGAAAGCTGTTCTGGTTTCGATATTCTATTCCCAGAAGATAATTCAGGTCGTAAGACCAACTGACCAGCACTGTTATTCCCCAAAGGTGACAAGCCTAGTGGAATTTCAGTATATGAGGCTATGTCTTTCTTAGGTTCGCATCTGATTTCTATTGTGACAGGGGAGCCAAGAACAGCCTCGAATGCTTGTAGTATGTACATTCTGAGCTTTTCCGCCTTTGCTTTGTTTACATGGGAGCTGAACACTAACTGCGCAGTTGGAGCTGAGTAGCAAAAGAATCGACAAAATTAAACTTTCAATAACTTAATTTGAACACAGACAACAGAAAGGATATTCAAAATTTCACAAAATTGCATTGGAAAGCATCTTTTATCATCCTAAACTACGAAAGAGAAAAAGCCCAAAGGAGCAGCCTTGAATGCATTAATAGAAAAGTCCAAGAGAAGGTATCAGTGCAAGCAAGAAACAATGGATTCATAAATTATCTTCCAGCCCAAAAATTCAGAAAAAAAATTAAAAAACAAATCTATGCCATAATAACTTCCGCAAATGATCATAAGCAAGTTGATTAAAGAGCGACAGGAAACATTTTCAGAGAGTTATTAAATTGATATGCACAAAAACAACACACTATTAGATTTCTACCCTGTAGCCTTGAGGTTTGGAGCAAATTTGTGGGTCTGAGCGTCATGTACCAATCAAAAGAAAATAAAAGCAGCAAATTAAGTTGATTGCTAACTTAACGGAGTATGTGGCTTAAGCAAACTCTGGTGAGCGCAAATTACAATAAAATAACTCTGTTTAAAAAATAAATAAATAATGACTCCATAAAAGTGTTACACATGCATCAAGATGGTCATGATAATGACATTCATGCATACAAATCCTCCCATAAATGTTAACTAAATCGTTTAAGACATCAAACAACCAAGACAAGATTATTTTATACCTGGATTAGGATCTCATCTTTTCTGACTGAATTACGTGGATAGTAACAGCACATTATAAGTTCATGTATGTCAGTTGTTACTTCCCCAACTTTGGCAAGAATCAACATAATACACCAATCTAGACTGATTTTACTATTGAAAGAGTTCAACACCTATTGGTCAAAATTTTCTACTTGCTGGAATTCAAAATCGCTCTCATTTTTCTACGTTCTTTTATTTTTGTAAGCATCATTTATTCATGAACATCAAAAGGGACCTCAACTGTAGTTTGAAATTCAGGTGGGTAGATTTTCTATTTTCTTTTTTGCCCATATCGACCTCAATATTGGTGTCATCTTCCTTATAAGATCCATAAAATCTTGAACCATCATTAGGGTGATCAAGGAGTACCTGCTCCAAAGCTGACCGAGACCAGCTTTCCTTCTCTGACCATAAATTGCTTTAGAGTATTTGACTGAATCTTCTCCAAAGCACTTTCCCAAATTTCTCTAGTCCCTTTCCCGCTACCATTACCTGGAAACTGTCCCCCACTTACTTTAGTAATGTCAGTAGAAAACCCACTTCTTCCACCATCCATGCCAACATGCATCTTTCCACCTGTGTAATCATCTAATGAGCAACATTTCTTTTTTATCCAACATTAAATCTATTGAATTGCACAGCTCTTTACCATTTGGTGTTAGACCCCTCCCATTATGAGTTACTACGGCATGGCTCCTATCAGGTCTTCCAGATAAGTCTCTCTCACTTGTCTGATGCTGCCGCATTGGGCTATGACTGAAACTTGTCTCTCCAGATGAACTTGGTAACACATATTGTTGATCGGGTGCAAGTTGAAGGAGTGCAGCTGTGAGCCATGTCACCCTGTCATTTGAAACTCGAAGCTGTTTCTCAGCTTCGGATAAAGTTTTCAGGGCCTGACGTAATCTTTCCATTTCTTCTTTAGACACTACAGAATTCAAACACAGTGTTGTCACGGAAGGTGTAGAGCATATAATTAAAGCACAACAGATGACATAGATAACATAGCTTCAGATTAAACAGGGAAACGCGTACATATACATGTATCTATGTGAGTGTGTATATGTATATGCTATGATTTGCATATGAACTAGCTCTAGCGCAATAAGATTTTTGGACTTTGAACTGAAAATGAATAATGCAGAGAGGAAGGTTGGCAAGGAATTATGCGAAGCAATAAATTGAAGTCCTGTACAAAATGAACCACAAGCAAGCTTTTAGGAGTAACTTTCTCAAAGAGAAATTTGCCCCCCGCAGCATCGAATGACTTTACTGCTAGGAAATCTGTTCCACGACTTGTTGGACTGCTATGTAAAACCTACTTTGCAGCGTATAAGAATTAGACCATATGGAGGGGCATTGAAGAAGGCATAAGGTTTAGAGAGACATTTATTGTCAATTATGCATGTATACAAGTGTTGGACTCTTATGTAAAACCCACTTTGCAGGGTATAATAATTAGACCATATGGAGGGCATTGACGTAGGAATAAGGTTTAGAGAGACATTTATTGTCAATGTATACAAGTTTATAAGTTACTTTTGATATATATGCATGTGTATGTTACATGATATTGTGCCATTCCATTGGTTGGTAAAGGGGGGTGGAGATCCACAACCTAGGTGATGCACAGATGCAATCAATCTAATTTTTTAGCTTTCATATTTTAAACTAATACAGATTACCTTTATAATAATCAAAAGTGTTAATTAAAATGGAGAGAGGGCTATAAAGATTCTTTGCCATAGGACAACAAATCCTGCTATTTATTACATCTACTTATTAGGAGTAGGTAGCTAACATAAAACTTTGCCAAAACTTCTCATAAATCTGGAATATAAGATAAATGCTTTGTTGAATATGACTTATTAGGAAACTATTGTGAGAGGACATTTTTCATCCATTTTGTTAGTTTCAAAAATTCTTTTTAAACAATAGAAAGACATATTTGACAAACTCTTTGTTAGTTTCTATTGTCGTATTAAAAAACAAACAATGGAATTTAATAAATAAAAAATAAAAATTACAACAATTTCATAATTTTTACATTTTTGAAAAGTTTACCACATTAAAATAAAGCTGAAAAACAGCTTAGTCCTATATGTATATGAGTATATCAAAACCTGATATAATTAGGCCCCTATAAGGACATACAAGCATTCCATTTAGGTCAAAACTCAATTCCCACAAAGTAGGAATCTGTTTTCTCGTGATTCCCTTGTACAAACATCAATTCTCAAAAAATGAATCTTCTAGCCAGTAGCGATCTCTAGCCAGCAGCGATCTCTTGCCAGCGCGATTCTGATTCCTTCAACGATTCAGAACCTCAGGCGTTTCCAATAACTATATCAAAAAACAAGGGATTATGGTGTTCGTTTACAGCCCTTGATCTATGATAGCTAACAAGGAATTGGATGGCTAAGATCAAGCCCTTGTCGCCATATAGATATCCTAGATCAAGGACCTTAAATGATCCTCATGAGAAGCTTCTACATACTCCCTTCCAAAGCCTAAATAACTCTCACACTTGAAACCATGCAGTCCAAAGCAATGTCATAATGCTAGTATGAAACTGGAGAGAGAGAGAGAGAGACAGAGTTCATCCTAAAGAGAGAGAGAGGGAGAGAGAGAGAGAGAGAGAGAGAGAGAGTTCATACCTAAGAGAGAGAGAGAGGAGAGAGAGAGAGAACTCCATGGCAATGCCATGGCATACTAGCTTAGCCCCGTGTTTCCCGTTTCACCCCATGTCGCCATCAAGCCATCCTCATGTTGCTCTAACCTGTTACAAATCATCATTTACATCAAGGTATTTACTGTTTCATGGTGTCTTTTTTTGTTCAAAGTTTTAAGCCCGCATTATGCTCACATCAGCCAATGCTATACTCCATGGTTTTGGATCAAAAGTAGCCCAATTTTGAACCATGCACCTACCCTTTTTCTTCACTCCCTTGCTTCTCTAAATCAATCTCCAAACCTAGAATGTGTGTTTGAAGTTACTTTTGTGCTTCCCATAATTTGAGTATGACATGGCTCGGATTCCTTTTGCTATCAGAGTGGAAATAAGTCCCTTGGAGGTAACCCCTAGCAAATTGATTGATGTTTCCCATGGCTTATGTCATTGCATTTGAGTTGTAATTGTATAAGAAAGCATTCAATGTAATTCTATTTCTATAAGAAATTGTATGTGACTAAATTTTACATAGGAGAAAGTTGTTGTATACATGCAATATCATTGTATTCAAATGAATGGCAATCATGTTGGGGAAGTCTTGAAGTGTTATTCAGCCTTTTTGCTAATGTAATTTGAGTTGTAAGGGTGGCTGTATCAGTGAGAATTGGCTTGCACTTTTGAGGAAAAGGATATGTAATTGTGGTGTATACTATTCTTACTATAAAATTTTAAAAGTGTTCCACACTAAGAGACCAGTATCTACACCTAATGTTTACATAGCGATATGCAAGAATGACTCATGGAGGACCATATGTGGCCTACATAACCTATACATTTATGACGATGAATCATCGGCCAATAATATATCAAATATGCAAATCCAAATGTGAAAACATTAAAATTAAAATCGAGTAAAAAAAAGTTCAAAATAAAGTAGAACAACATTGTAAACATTTCATTAAATAAATTGACAGACTTAGTGCGAAAATCAGAATTTTGTTAACTCACATGTTGGACGACGAAAGAACTTTCTTCTTAGCCTTTCTTTGGTAAACGTGTAACTACCAACAAGAATATCGGTTATTATTGTTGCAAGTTGTGACATTAAAGCTAATGGCTCAACTCCTGCTTCCATGAGCTCTCGTATACTCTTTACAGTGTTGACAGTGTCTGCTGATAAGGCCAAATCAAGCAAATCTACCAATTTCTCTTCTGAAATCAACCCAACCTGAACAACAATGAACACACTAATGTTGAGGAAGAATTATATGAAGTTAATCTAGACAATCTGTTATTTAGGTTCACATATCTATCTTCTCAATAACAGCGGAATATATTTTCCGTGGATAGGCCCTGGCTATCTTTCACACTAAATCAGTATACAGTATGCCAAAGGATCAATATTCTAATAGTGGTGCTCCAAGATTCTCTTTAAGCTAATATAAGCAGCAGCTTCTCTATGCTTTGATTAAAAATTTTCACAACATTTCCATTTCGATTATGTACTCGTTATTGTCAAAACTACTAAACTAAGCAAACTCCTTAACTAATAAAATCATGTTGGTACATATCATTTGAGGGTTTCAAGAGATGTATATTCTATCATTTGCAGTTGCACCATCTCACTCTCTTTAGCTTAACTTCCAAACTAAATGGAGTAATTGAACTCGAACAAGCAAATCTAATGGCGACTCTTAGTTTTTCTCAACCTGTCCACTATAGGGCATTTTGGGCAGATGGCTTTGATGAACACACTCAAGAAGATACCATTATCCAGGCATTTTCGATCAGAACCACATTGGAATTTAAGTTTTAAATATCTTTCGCCGGACAACTGAGGCCAATTACTATCAAGCTAGCACATAGTAATTCGATTAAATCTTTTAGCCATATAATGTTCATGGTCATCATACAAGTTGATAATGACTTGATGAAAGGAGTCGGGCTTGGGCTTGGGCTTGGGCTTGGGCTTGGGCTTGGGCTTGGGCTTGAGTGGTTAGCAGTTGACATCAAGTAACTCTACATATCAAGTTCGATTCCTACCACTGAACTACCCAAAAAAAAAAAGACTTGATGATCATAACACACCCACATTTTTTTTTCCCTAAATAGTCAAAGTTAATACTAGACTTGTAAGATTCCAATGGACACTGACGTTTCAGAATCACCATCAAAATGCTGACAGTTGCAACAAACGAGCAAATATAGATATCATAAACATCATATAGAGGGAAAAGGTAGATAAAAAGTTCAAATTTTTAATTTCAGAAAAAAGTTGGAAGCAGGAATGAGCAAAGCCGAAATTTATGCAAACATTCATTCTCCGAGGAAAAGAGTTCTTAAGTTTGGAAAGAAACCCAAATTTGGAATTTTGATTGGACTAATTTTTCAGCAGAATATTTGGATTTGGATTTCAATGGCAAGAGAAAAAAAATTACCACTTTCCACATATTAGAAAGAAAGAAAAAATAATTAAAAGAAGAAGAAAAAATGTGATCAGATTTAGCAAACATTCAAGTCAAGATATGGATTTACCTTGCCCAAGTCAAGTATAGAAAAATAAAGAGATCATGTTATAGGTCAATGCTCAAGATCAACACAGTAAAACATCCTTGTAGTATAAGTGGAATCCCTAAGGTTGTCAATAGTAACTCTGCAATTAGCATCCCGCTTAAAACAAGTTATTTTCCACATGACAGACCTATGAAGCATATTTTAAATGAAATTGAACTTACAAGTTCTTGAAACAAACGAACTGAGATTCTCTGACCAAGCAAACTGAGTTGATCAAGGGTCATCTCTGCATCTCTGAGAGATCCATCAGACCTTGAAGCAATAAGCTTCAGTGCATCCTTATCAACTTCCAATTCTTCTTGGATCGCAATCCACTGCAAAGTAGATACAATATCAGCATCTTTTAACTTTGGAAACAAGAATTTCTGGCACCTGGATATGATGTTATGTGGCAAATGATCAAGAGTTGTACTGATAAGAATAAAAACAATCCTCCGAGGTGCTCGGTCAATGGCCTTCGATAGGGCAACCCAAGAATCACCAGGCAAAGTATCACAGTCATCAACAATGAACACCCTGTACTGAGAAGCATGATGAGGTATAACCATACTCTCAAGAAGATCCATAATACTCTCAAACTCAAGGTTCCCAATAGGGCCCACTTCCCGAATACTTGCATTCTTACCCATATCATGTGCGATGCATGAACTGCACATTCCGCAAGGTTTAAACTTATCTGAAGATTGACAGTTGAGAGCTCTAGCAAATACCCGAGCACATGAAGTTTTCCCCGTACCATGAGGCCCATAAAACACATACACAAACCCGATCTTCCTTTGGATGACAGCATTCAAAAGAGCCTGGGATACCAAGTTTTGCCCCACTACATCCTTGAAAGTCTTTGGCATATATTTTTGTGTCAAACTCCTATGCCTCTCTCTTGTTCCATGTTTAAGCTGTTGTATAGCTTCATGGTGTCCCCGCGAAGAGCACCGATGACCTGACCGAGCTTCTGAAGCAAGGTCAGAGTCTTCGTTCCGGTTCATACTACTGCCACCATAAATTCCAAGCTCCCCAGAATAGTTTTGTCCCCATATAACGGTTTCAGTGCTCCCATGTGACCCAGACGGCTCAACCAATAAAGGCAAGGCATCAGAGTCTTCTCTCATGGATGGACTTGAGCAAGCAGATGCACCAAGAATGTTCAAATCATCCCTTTGAGAACTGGGTCCCTCTTGTGGAGCAGGATAATCAACCTTTCTTTGTTTCGAATCTGAAATCCCACAAGAAAGGCTCCTGCCTGCCTTGTCCAAAATGGTTTTACCCCTATGGTGAATCCTAGACCAATTCCAAGGAATTCCACACACATTTCTTGGATCTTGAGTGACTTCAGTTTCAACATTTTCAACACCTCCGAATCTATTGAATCCTGCAATATACTTTGCATGTCCACTTTGTGCAGCTAGCGAGTTTGAAGCAACAGACAACTCGTGATGGTCACCACTATCTCTTGGTACTATAGGAGCCCGACCTCTCTTCCCACCTCTAAACTTTCTTTTTTGATTCCGGTTTACGCTAGTGCCTGGGCGAGTCTTTTCTTTACTTTGACCCCTTGAACTTGTTTCAGTTTTTTCTTCTTCAATGATTTTCTCTTCTCTACCATGTCTGGTGTGAGGAACAAATCGAGAAGAGCCCACGTCTTCACTAGCCAAAGATCGCTTTCTTATGTGATCGATTAATTGCTTCTGGTGGCCAGTATGAGCCCCCTTTTGGGGGACTCTATTATCTCTCGAGCATTCCCCTCCTTTAGGTTTTCCTATTTCCCTAACTCTAAGCTCTTCGTTCCAACTATCTAAGTTCCCTCCACCACCATTATCCTTGGGAAACTCCACATCTGTTCCTCCAGATCTACCAAGATTACTTACGCTAGCAATAGGAGATGAATTGATGGAACTCCTTCTCAAATCTCTCCTACTTTCAGCCTCGAAAGATCTACGCCCACCTTGACTTGCCCCTTCCTTTCCATACCTCTTCCTTGAGGAGCCAATGAAAGGAGAATGCCATGAAGGGCTAGTGGAAGGATCTCTCAGTGATTTAGACCTTTGGAGGACAATAAGTTCCCTCATAAGTAAGCTTTCTACAGGGCTATATTTGTGCATATGGTTCTTCAAGTGAATGCAATTTGTTAAATGCACATGATTTCGGAGATGATCCTGAATACCAGTGTCATCTTCCCTTAGAGGGGCATCAAGGACATTCCCGTTCATCATAGGAGACCAAGTTACTCAGTAAAGCTGAACCTGAGTATGGGACATTCAACCATTTTTGGGTCCACATAAGACCCAAAATACGAACCAGTGCAATGATTTATGTATGCGCATCTACTACAAAAAATTTCCTAGAAATTTGAAACATTTCTGGTAGCAATACCATTATAAGAGTATACATTCCTTGAAAAGGACAAAATTCACACAACAGTTCCCACATTCGTAAGCTAGAAATGATTTTCAGAGAGTAAAACTGATAGAAACAAAGTCCTACCACTACTATATGTCAACACAAAACGAACACCAAATATGTCAAAAGAAGTAAAACGAGCACAAACCCTCTCCAAATTACTGGTCATAGGAAAAACCCAATCTCCCAAACCCAGAGAGGCTCCAAGTTTCATAAATTTTAGCAGAACCTGCATTCAAAACAAGAAATATAAAACTCCTTAGCATGTTTCCTTCACTATTTAACAATCCACACCCAGCAAAAAAATCTTCTGCAGAGAAAAACAGATTACCAACTCTTTCGAAAACAGCAAATTCCACATATCTTTCCCAACCTCTGCAAAAAGAGGAATACGAAGAACGACGGTTCAGTATCGTTCTCACCTCCCATACTTCATAAAAACCTAAACATAACTCAGAGAAGAAAGAGATTCCAGATACAGGAGAAAGAGAAAGAGAGATAAGGGGAGAGAAAAAAGCAGAAAGTAGGAAGAAATCCTGTGAACAGGAAATAAGAAGTTCAAGCAGGTAGGTGTACGAACACGTGAGTCATTTGAATAAAGAAGCACCATTGTGAACACCACCTCCTATTCATTTTACTCACTCCCGAACTTTCTTCACGTTCAATCCTCAAAGGATGACTTTACTCACCCCAAAACTTCAACAAAAACCAGCAACATAGTAGCATAGGATCCCCAGATGCATCTGCCACCATTCACATGAACAGAGCAGGCTAAACGGCACAAGAAAGTATTATGTATGCGACGACAGTGAGATCTGATCCTGACATCAAAAATCCCATGTACTGCTTTGCTACAAATCCTTTTAAATGGGTTGACACAAATTAATTTGCTTCTTTTTTTCTGGGGCAAAAATTGAAGATTGAAAGCAATTGCTCAAGGCTACATATTTTTCATTATGGTGGGGCTCAAATGATCTTTTGGGTTTCCAGAATCAGAGAGAGAAAAAAGGGAATATAGAGAGAGAGAGAGAGAGAGGGACACTATGACTGGACTTTTTCTGTTATGTTTGGTGTATGGTCGGCCGATGGGTTTGAGTGGGGTTTGTAGAGAGAGAGAGAGGATTTTAGAGAGAGAAAGAGGGGATTTGAGGGTTTATTGCTATATTTTTGGCTACATGCGGGGTATATTGTAGAGAGAGAATGAGGTGGAAAGGTACAGTTCAATTTGAAAAGGACCAGGGGACATCACGATCATGTTGAACTGTTGAAATTCAGGTAACCCATGGCTGTGAATAAGGGACAAAGGCCCTACACTGGTACATTATAGTATTGCACCGGTATATAATATGATCGATATGGTCATCAGAGACCATGAAAATTATCGTCGATCTATCAGTGGGTCAGATGGTGATGGCGAGAGTAGCTCCCATATTACAAATTCGATGCATCCTCTCGACTTTGCCAAAAGCTGTCCTAAGACCATTTATCTTTGTAACGAGAAGGTCACAA